GGTCAGGAGCCCAAAGGGACTTAAACAGGTCAGGACGTCTAGCGTTTGCATCCAACGTGCTACGATCGCCTGGCAACCTGCCGTTGGTTCTTGCGCACTGGGCGCTACGGACTGTAGCTATGTGGCTGAGCTTTGAGTGAAGAGGCCCGGGAAGTTCTTCATGGACGACACAGACAGGACGTAAGTGTAAGTTGTGCCAACAGGGTCACCCATTTTGGGGGGGCATCTTACCGCAGACTGTAAGAGTGAAGATTCATGAAGATTCCTTTTCGTGATGGATGTTTTTTGTGTTTTCTCCCCCATGTATCCAATGTATCCCATATGGCAGGCAGGACTGTAGGAGCCTGAAACATGGCGTTTCTTGTCCAACGACGGTCAACGACGGAGCAAAGACTCGACTGGTAAACAGCAGCTTCAGCCGGCCGCACTCGACTTGTGTGGGGTCTATCCACAACAAATGAGGCGGGAAATCATGCAACAATGGTCCTTGGCATGCTGTGTCAGCTGATACTCTTTGGGTATGTCTTGGTGTCACTACTGTTGAAAGAGTTCCTGCACAATGTGCTTGGAGGAGGATCAGGGAAGTGTCAAACAGATGGGTTTTGAGCTTTGCGTCGGTGCTGAAATTCTTCCATCAACCGTACTGGTCACTGGTCAGCAGCATTCCTTCCCAATGAACATGTCAAGGTTTGCCAATTGATTTTAGTTGGGGAGTCGTTTTGTTTCGTTTCGGTTGTGCGGCTTTGTGCTTCCCATAGAGCTGTTTGGACTGGAAAACGGGTGTTCTGAACACTCCCACTTGATGGGGTTTGGGTGTTGTCCAAACTCGCACTATTGGACACATGTGGATCCATGTGGGATCGGGTGATTCCTTCAAAGCTCTCTAGCGCGTCAGCTTCGCAGAAACACAGAGCCAGCCAGTCGTGAAGCCAAGTGAGAAGGCTGGAGAAGAAAAAGTAAAATTCAAAGCCGTTGGATCTGAAAAAGATCCAATCCAATCCATACTTCCCACATCTTACCACCCTTTCGCTCGTGCGGCCGTGAAAACACAGCCCTTTCCTCCCGACACCATCGCTTCGGACACCATCGACCGGGTCCGTTCAACGGCGCCAGGGTTCAACACCTTCACCTGGCGTCGACCCGTTGGTACGAAAATGGGTACAAGTAGTAACTTCCAGCAGTCACAAAGGGGTGCTTAATGGAGGTTAGGGGTGCCCATTATCCACTCACTTGGGGACTAAACACCACCCCTTTGTGACTCCTGGTTACCTGTAATGGTCGGTTTTTTCTAAGGTACTGTACGAACGGGGTTTTCTCGGGTCCAGGCACATGTCATGAAACATGTCATGAAAGCACTTGAATTGAAGCTCTTTCATGGAGTTTTTTTCCGAGCCTTTTACACTCCCTGACATCATCCATGGTCCAACGTGGGTTGTCCTCCCCCACGGTCCAATCGACTCGGATGGCGAATTCCGAGTCGACCAGACCTGTGGTGCCTTACGCCTGATTCGTCTTGCAGTGTCACACTGACAGGCACTCGTTGGTGTTGGGTTGTCCCAATATATGACCAGTGACTGCGGCTGTAGATGCATGGCTGTATCTGTGGTGACGACACACGGTCACGGCGGACCTTCGGCCTGAGAAACCGACTTCCGCACCCGCAGTCCGAAGGGAAACAAGTCGATTTCGGGACAGGACTCGGATGCCAGGGACTCGACCGCTCCGGAAAGGGGGTCGAGTCCTGATGATCCGATAAGGACCTCCTCCAGGTATGGCTGGACGTACCTCCATGGCACCCACCCCAAACCCCTTCGAAACAGAAGGTACGACAGGTACGGCCGTAACGGGCTTGACTTCGGGACGTCAAAGTCTTGGCACGTGGGGAATCTTTGAGACGTCCATGTCATGCTGGTCGACTGGGATGAGTCACAGAGGAGGTCATATATTCCAAGAACTGTGTGAACTAGCAGAAGTGTTTGGAGTCACTTGGGTGGTAGAGATGTTGGCAGGGAGATGCAGGGAGACACTCAACCAAAAGGGTAGACTGGATTATTGACCTTCTTCCAAGGGAATAAAAGGTCTCGCTATTTTAATACACCCTCTGGGTAAATACCGGTTGTTCCTGTTGTTGTATTTGGTTTATTGAATTGAATTCAACAAATTGTGTGCTTTGTTTCATGCATTTAAGTCTTCAGACCATTCTTTGTTCCTGTCTTCCTGTCTTCCATCCAAGTGGACGGTCAAAACCAAACCTATTGGGGCATTTGTTTGGAGACGAGCTTCCAGTTTCGGTTTGTAGGTGCACTTGGACATGATCAACATGCAATCCAGCCCCAATCCTGAAGTCGAGGCTTTTGTGTTTGGGGGAATTGGGGCGCCAATGATTCCTGAAGGATGCAACTGCAGTTCAGGTGTAGTCCTGCTTGCACATGAGACTTGTACATGTTTCACATGTGATGTTTGCACAAATGCTCCCATGTTCTTGCGTACTTGACCTTTGCGGACTGATAAGACCCCTTCAGAGATTAGCAGGTGCTCAGCTTCTGGAAGTGTTTAGACACATCAATGAGTATGCCTCACAACCTGGAGCTTAACCTCCCAGTCCACCATTTGCCGCGAATGACCGACCACTATTTGCCAGTCAACTGGTCGGCAAAAACATCCTGCTGCGACGTATACAAACCGTATGGCGAGCCCACAAACCGGTACCAGGAGCGATCGGACGCTACGTTCGGGGCTCCTGGCTTTACTACCTTCTCAGAAGGTACTTGGGCCCTCCAAGCCTACATAAATAGTCTCCAATCATCTTCTGAGAAGGTACTTGGATCCCTGGGGCTACAAGGAGCTAGGGGCTCGGGTTAAGATGTTTCATCCTCATCTCGTTTCGTCTGACGGCCCTTCGTGCACGCACAGACGCCCGGACTGTCTGTCGCGACACGCGACACGCAGTGTCTGAGCTACTTGACACTCTGAGCTACGGAACGGAGCAAGTTCTTCGAGTTGATGGTACACACACACACAGTTGGGGTATTGGAGGGTTAGAATGTACACCAATTCGAGTTGATTGTACAAAAACACTTCAATCAAAGACATGGCGGCACAAAAACACGTGGTCGAAACCGGTGAGCAGGGAGAAATGACCGACCGTCCGGTGGGTCAGGTCTTGTCGACCTGTGTATCTCATGTCGACGTGTTGGAGGTTTCGCGGGCCCTTTTTTGGGGTGATCCAAGTGGGATGCCCCGCTCGAAGCGAAGCTTTCTCCAATGGAGACGCAGCTTCGCTTCTCTCTGTTTCAATCCATGCACCGCTGCCGAAGAAAAGGGCCGAGGCAAAGGGGAAGACTCGGGAGATGCAGCGGCGATGGCCTCCAACCCACTAGGGATGGCCTCCACAGCGATGGCCTCCAACCTAAGAGCGATGGCTTCCAATCGGGAAAGGTTAAAAGGCATTAACATCCTTGAACCTTTCCTTTTGGCTGGGATTGGGGACACCCCACTCAACATGAACAGGAGGAACAAATCCCTCCAGAGTGTTGCTTTACTACGACATAGCTACTTTTTGACAATTGGCTTGGCAGATAGAACATAGGTGGAACAATTAGGGTGAACCAGTAGTTCCATCGAACAGCGGTGCCGGTTCCGAACGGAGGAAGTTGGGGTGCCCCTTTCACATCCACTCTGCATGTGACGAGCCCAGTCAACCACCCAACGAGGCAATGTTCAACTCCTGAGACCTTTATCCCTTTTTGGGGTCCCAGAATCCGAAGTGGTCACCGATTCGCGGTATTCGACCAACCCTGCATTTCACCCCACTCCACCCTATTCGACCCCGACAAAAACCCAAGGTTTCGGTGGTTAGACCCCAGGAGTTTGGAATCTTCCTGGGAAAACAGCTACCTTCAGCTCAATGACCTTCCTGCAACAAAGCACGCGTGAACGACGCATTCAGCCAGCGCGGGGCCTTCCGGTTGAAGCAACCCGTTTTGATGTTGTAGCCGCTTTGAAATGCCCACATGTTTTCCAAGCAAGGATAAGAAGAAATGGAGTTCTTGGGCTGGCTTTTGTATTATGTTATGTTATGTTATAAATTGTTATAATTACTATAATATGTGTTGCATTTTTATCTATGTTGGCATTTTAGGACCATTGGGCCTTCTAATAGTTGACCGTGTCTTGGAGAGCACTTGCCCAAAGTGACTTTGTTGGATCTTTTTCTTCGAGCGGAGGTTACCAGTGCACCTGCTGGGAACGTCAGACCATCCTCATTTGTACTGAACTGACTGGAGCTTAGAAGGGAATGAGAGAATTGCTTCCCCCCGCTGAGAAATGCTCAAATCATCAGGACACCCCTGATTTGGGGGGGTCAACACCATGGTGTCATGTTCCAACAGATCCATTGACCCTCCTATCATCTCCAGATACTGCAGGATTCCAATCCCTGCAAGTCGTCCGATCGCAGGGATTCGCCAAAGGACTCGCGGATAGGGACGATGGAGATGGAGATGGTATGGAAGGAAGTGCAGCCCCTGTGACAGATGTGAGTGTTGTTTGTGGCCCCTTACTGCCCAAGGTCCAGAGATGATGGATTGTGATCCTGAACATGCCAATGTTGTAATGGTGTTTACTCCGTTATATTATATAATATATAATTATATATATATATGCATGCGTGTGCCGCCCCAAAAAAGACGACCTTCTTCCATTTTGTACAAACGCAAGAGGATACATAATTGTCCATATACATCCATATACGCAAGAGGATACGACATTTGCGTAGATTCCTGAGAATCCTTGGACTCGGACCCACAACTTCCAACAGAGGTTGAAGGACCCTATAGACTATCCCATCGGTACCCCAGGTGACGGGTCCTAGTTCAGGTCACTGGCTACCTCTCTTGGTTTGCACAGGTCCCGATCTCTTCTCTTCGCACACCGCCACCGAGCCAGTCAGTCGCATCGTCGTCGGTTCCGCGGACTGTTCCGCGGTGCGCGAACGGCAGGTGCTTGGTGGACCTGAGATTGCACTTGCATCATTCCATGGGGAGACTTGGTGAGTTACGCATTTGGACCTGCGAAACAGATCGGACTGGTGTTGACTTGGTACGTAGGAAGAATGTTTGATCCGTGTTTGACCTGTCAACTTGAAATCAATGCATTGACAAGACACCTGACACCTGTCAACTGGAAGGGGCCAGTGCAGTTGAAGTGGAGCGGCACACGTGTTGAATATCCTAGCGTGGGGAAGATACTTTAATATATATATATATATATCTGCAGTTGGGTTTCTCCGAACTTACCTGTAACAGTCAGTAAACAAGCAAATCACGATTTTTTGAAGAAAGGCCTGTAACTGCACCATCATCATGCATTGGGCACAGGTATTAGGATAGACCCAATATACCAGTACCTTCAAAGGGGTCACCAATGGAAGCCCCTACTTCAAAGGGGTCACCAATGGAAGCCTCTACACCACTTTGGGATCTCTCAGGGGTCACCAATGGAAGCCCCTACACTACCTAGGGATCTCCATTGGGCACCCCTTGAAGGTCCAGGTATATATGTTTTCACATGTTTTCACAGTTCCTGGTCGGGTGAATAAGAATGGGCAACTTGAAGTGTTTTAGTGCAGACATTAGCTGTGAAGTATCATGAAGTATCATTTTTCATGATGCCTGAAGCCCTCCATCTGCTGTGGTCACTGCACGTCGTTTGAGACACGGACGACGCTTGCGCCCCCTCAAAAGCTCGTTCGGAGCCATGAGTATCTACAGCCACGAGGCCAGCAGGCTACTAATACGGGATTGTCTTTTCCCAGACACTCCATGTATGACATATATGCCGATCAGTTGGGGTGGTTTTGGGGGGTCAATGTAGGCATATATGGCAGTCCCATGGAGTGTCTGGGCTTCATCATGAGGTTTTTGCGCTGTCCGGTCAACCTGCGCATGTATTCGGAATGAGCCTCCTCAGTGACTAGGATCACGCAACCTGCACAGAGGGGGTTTCTGTTCGGTCGCCTATCATCATCAATAGACAGTTCAATAGACTTGCGAACTTGTGCAGCATACTCTCCCTGGAACTAACATGGAAGTGGAGAACCCATGAGAACCCAATGTTTATAGAGGAAACGGGTCTTCCTATGTCTTCCCAACGTGGCCATGCCATCCTCGTTGGCCCATGTTGAGTTCCTAACGGAGTGTACTGGGGAGGGCTCGGAGCGGACGGCTTGGCTCGGAACCCAACACGACTGCCTTTACATCCCCATTGTGCCATCACACTAGTTCACCATTTTTTCATGACCCCGGTTTTTTTTGGGTGATGTCCCTTTTTGGGGACATATGTACGTACAGGAAGTAAATCCAAAACAACCATTTGTAGACCGCAAAGCCTGCAGTGTGTAGGCTCTCATGTTGACCTTGCAAACAAGACTCGTTCCAGAAAATACAAAGTCAGGTCTGGTCCGGTGCCGCGACTGAGGATACCAACGGCTTGCTGACCATCCCCATGCTGTCCAAGGTTGGTGTTTCGGCGAGATCGGAGGTGTTCTCCAGGGAATAATGCATATGGTTCCTCTGATTGAAACCAAGCTTGTTTGTTTGGCCTCCTAGTATATAACTATAGTGACTGGACAGGTGTTTCACAGGTTTTTGTGCATGTTGAGTCAACCATGCCGACTGTCGACCATGTTCGACATAATCGCGTCTTGGAAGCAATTTTCGCATTCCTACTCCACAAACATGTGCAGTAGAGCCAGAAACTTCACTCAACTACTCAACTTATACTCAATCTATGAAAACCGAAGAAAACCGCTTAATTGTTGACAAAATTCGGATCGATGAGCCAGGAGTCAACTGCCAAAATGGTGTGAAGATAGTGGATCAGAGATAACAGTTCTTGGAAGTATATATGCGTAGAAATAAGGTCCTCATCATGGCGACAGCATCACCAGCTTTGTTCATGTTTGGATCCCAATCTCACCTCGCTGAGCGATTCCACCGGCGGACCTCAGACTCCTTCAATTCGTCAATTAAGCCCTGCCGGCAGCATTTCATGTCTTTCACACTTCTACAGGCGCTTCCTGTGACGGAGGCCGTAGCTGCCTAGCCTCTTCCACACCCAAACACTCCGGACCGCGACTTGAGCCACCCCACTGGGGTGCGCGACACGATCTGAGGTTGTGTCACAGCCCATCTTAGGCAGTGAAACCACCCCGTAAATTTGCCACTGCATATGGATGGTCTGGGAGAGGTATGGCAACACTTGCCAGTCTCGCGGTTGATCTTCGGATTGGACGCGAACACCCACGAGAAGCGAGTTGATGGCAAGGTGGGTCCCGGGCGGTGAAGATTGGTCTTGAATTGCTCAAAGGGACAGCCGTTTTTGGCCATAGTCATCCACTCAAGAGTGGAAGTGTTTCTGGGTCAAGGAATACACTCCCGACATAGACCCTGACGTCCTGGTCCCATGGAAGACTATTTTCCTCTACCAACCAGGGGTTTTCAGGGTCGGGTCGTCTTCCAGGGTGGGGGTACTCTGGGGGGATCCAGGAAGGTACCGGAAAGACCTCAGGTTCGGACCCCACAGACCGGATAGGCTGATCGATCGGCAGGTATGGCAGGCAGTGTCGAAGACCTCATCGGATAGGCTGATCAATAGGGGAGGGCCTGAGTCGTGCTCGTGCTCGTCCGCCGGGGTGGCGAGTCGGATGAGTTCGCAGACGAAGGTGAGGTTTGACCTCGTGAAAAACAATGGGTTTTGAGTCACAAGGGCACTACTAGCATTCTTGTTCCTAGTAGCGATGCCAGGAGCTACTAGAAGAGCTACTAGTTGTAATGCCCTTGCTGCTAGTAGCATTCTAGGTGATTTTGTAGTTTCCCGAACATGGTGAATCCCCTGCTGCACATGGGCGCTCAATTTGAGAAAGTAGACAGTGAAGAGGAGGGTTATTTCAGGGGTCAATGTATATATACCATAGTGACTCCGTGTTAGGGTATGGGAAAGGCCTGAGACCAACGGAACGTCATCATCCACTGGATACTGGACGTCATGGGGGCATATGACGTTCTTAGGATCGCAATAGTAGCGTCCGATCCGCTCCGTTCGTAGTACGGCCAGGAGCCCCGTTCATAGCGTCCTTGTTCCGTTCGTAGTATGCAATGCGTCAGGTTGCTTTTTTTACTTCAAGTGTCAGCAGATGTCAGCAGTGTCAGTGTCAGCAGCTTCACACTTCAACACACGAGGCTCCACCGGGTTGCCCTTCACCGAGCAACACTTCACATTGCCCACCGAACTGCGTCAGATCACAAAGCACCTCTATAACACTTCATAAGCAAGTACTGCACCCGATGTTCAGCACCGAAATTGTGATGAACATGACCTTTTAAAACATATGCATATCCCAGAGGCTCATGGACCCTCAAAATGCTACATGTTTGAAGTCCAAAACCCTGGTTGTGAGGGTCAAAACCCTACCTATGAGGGTCCAATGAGCCTTCTTTGGGATATATTATATATATATACATACACCTGTACGTTTCACGATCAGCGCATTCCCAGAGAGTGTTTGCCCATTTCTTCACCGGCGAACTCGCGGCGCGGCTCGGCCAAGCGTCGCAGCTCCCGGTCGCGACCTCGCCGTCCGTCACGGCCGAGGCGCACGTCTTGGACTTCGAAGAAAGCTACCGAAGCCTCGGGTTGAAAGTCGCTTGGAGTTCGTGGTGTGGACGATGGTGGCGGGACTCCAAGGCCCAAGGGCACGATGGGAGTCCTGTTCCCAAGAATTTCTACACGACACGACGAATAGAAGTGGCGAATTGGGGTGCTTTCGGGATCTTTCGGGCTCAATATAATCCCCATGAGGTCCCCATGTAAGAAGAAATGTCAACTTATGTTGAACAAATAGCTTATTTGCCAAATCTCACTGAAATATCATGTTCTACTCCATTATATATATATATGCCACGATACTTTTGTCCAGATGCCCTTTTTACGTCACATTTTCAATCGAACAATCAAACATCGTCACTTCTTCGCCCTCTCTACATGCTCCCCCCAAAAAGGTATATCGGTCAGTAAGGGTGTGAAATTTCAACTTCAATGGGGATGTGTCTACTGTAGATGTTTGGTGGAGGATGTGGAGGTTCCCGCCATTTCCAGACGTGCTGTTTTCCTTGTATTTTTTTTTATTTTGGTACAAGAAGGAACCAAGACTGTGTTCCGACTACCGCAAGATATCCACTGAGACACCAGCTTTTGAGTCTTTGTTGTGTTCATGGACCTATGCTATGAGGCCTGCTGGGGTGATGTGAGCCCGAAGCTCTACACGACCTTCAATGCCAGGACCTACCTGTGCGGCCCTCAGAAAAAAGAACACCCTATTAATGCCCTGCAACCTGGAAGCCTAGAAGCGATCACCTCCAACTTAATAACAATGGCCTCCAACCCAATAGCAATGGCCTCCAACCTAGAAGAGTTGTGAAATGTTGTGAATCTTCTTGGAACAGTCCAAGCCAAGTTCCTAACTGCTTGAACGTAATCATGTCGCAAGCATTGAAATACATGTGACCCTTTTTCGTTTTTGTATGTTCTGTTATGGTTTGCCCTGTTTAATGTTATGTTGTTTTATGAATTGTTTACGGTTTGTGTGTGTGTTTATTTATGTGTTTTACTTCTATGTTAATGCTTTGCTGCTTCTTTGCGAGCTTGCCTGTTTGTTTGTTTGTTTGTTTTATTTTTTGTTATGTTTGCAATGTCATGCAATATATACTATAATATAGTGCAATATATATATATAGATCTATATTGTGTAATATATATATTTAATGTAATTATGTAATTTAATGTACTGGCATGAATGACATCTATTCAATCATATTAGTAATCTATGTCCAATGTGAATGTCTTAATAAGTAAGGGGTAACGCTGCTCGACAAAAAAGGTTTCGATCCTTCTTTGGACGCGTCCAACATGGTTCATTTCCTTTTACATGTTGCTGCGGATCTAGCTGCACAGCTTGCGAGCAGTTCGGAAGCAGCAGTGAGCTGGACAGGTCTTAGATGCCCCACTCAAAAAATGGGTTCAACATGCCTAGCTCATGAAGGTGGGTCCTTGATGAGATTGAAGGAAGAAGGGTATGGACTTGTGAGGTCTGTGGCTAAGCCACAGATCATCACAGACCCTTCTCGATGCCATGCTAAGCCACGTTGGCCTCTCGTGGACACGTTCACCGACAGTCCGACAGTCGGACAGTCGACCTTCCGGAATGAGCGTGGATCCCGTTTGAACAGCTTGCGGTTGATTGCAGGCAGCAAACCATTCTAAATGCATCTAAAACCAGCTAAATACGAACAAATTTGACACGTTCGAACGTAACGCAATAATTAATATTGGATTGTGTGTATACAAAAAAATCCCTTTATTTAAGGTTGCATGTTTGTAATGATGTAGTGATTTGCTGCGGTGTCATGCAAAAAACAAATATTAAACACATACCTTAACTTGACAATGCAAGCGCAGTAGTCAAACTGATGTCAAACTGTTATGCTAGCCATGGCAACGGATGGTAACTCGTGGTATTTTGGTGTAGTCTGTTTGTCTGTGTGTGTTTGTGTTCAGGCTCCTCTAGAATTCTCAAGTATCTAGAAATTATAGAATGCAGAATAGTAAGTTTGAAAGCCTACGCCCACCAAGGACTTGCTCTTTTTTACGAATGGTCACCAGGATGGTCCGTGACAACTCAAGTAACTCTCGATGCCAAAAGGCAGGCGGACGGGACCCTCGGATCTTTGCCCCCAAGGCAGCCGCAGCTCAACAAGGCCTCCAAGAGCACTGAGCTTGAAGAGAAGGGCGATCGCAACCCCAAGGAGCCCGGGGGAAATGCGAACCGACGCTCCTCTTCGAGCCCAGAAACACCCCGTGAGCGCGGGGATTTCACTTGTTTTCACGCGCAGAAAGGGAGGTTTTCACCTGGGTCTTCGCCAGGAAGTACTCAAGATGACCTTTTGCTTACCCTAGGGCTCCTGTCCCATATCCTCAGGTTCGGTAGGTAGACCCTTTCATTCTGTTTATATAATTACCTAAGGGCTCAAAGTACCTTCTGAGAAGGTGTTTCGGGTGGGTGCCAGGAGGGCCCAAATACCTTCCTGCGGAGGTACTTGGAGCCCTATAGGGATAGTCTACATGTTTTCTTGGCTTATGGCGTGACTGGCGGGCTTCCAAGATTGAATTTGTCCATCATTAGCCACAGGTTCGTAGCGGTCTTCACAAATTGACAAGGGGGACTGTTAGTTTTCTTAGCGTGTTCAGGTTTACCCTTGACTCACTATGGAAGTGGATGGCACCACCTATACAGCATTTTAAGGGGAGGGTGGACTCCATTTTGATACAAAGATAACCCAAGCAGAGATTCACAGGCATAATATGCATCGTGCCCTTTCTCTCGCCGCCCGTGCTCTCCGACTGGTCATGTGAAACGCAGCGACTGGTCCGCACAGCACGGTCTGACGCACAGATTCGCAGGACTTCATTCTTTTCACGAAGCACTTCCAGGAGCGCTTCAGCACAGTGGAGGTGTCGAGGATTCGAGGCTTCGAGGTGTCTGAATCCAAACTGAGGTGTCAAATGTAAACAGTGCCCTGTCATGAGTCATGAGGCAAGTTTGCTTAGGGCCATATCCAGTTGTTTTGGTTCGCGCTCGGACTCCATTTTGTATTTCTCAATTTTACCGAGCCAACCTGTTTCGGTTTGACACATTATATACTGGAATATATTTGGAGACACGTTTCAGACACCGGAACATCCAATACATCACCCAATGCCACCAAGCACCCACTTAGTCACTTGATTCCCCCCTACGCGCACTACACCATGCATTCTGGTTGACAAGCTTTCCCCGACTGGTCGGACTGCTTGCCATGTGGCTGGCCATGGCTGGCCGGCTGGCCGGCTGGCATGATCAGAACATGCATTCTCACCAGCCTCAGGTGCCGAGATTCGTGTACACACATGGGTAAAGCATCGAAAACAAAAGAAGAAAACAACAAAAAACAACAAAAACAGTGCCCATGTGTCTTCCAAAATAGGTTTTTACTCACCAACAAACGGTTTTCTTTCCATTTCAAGCTTCATGTAGACAGTTGTGTTGCACACGCACAATGTTGCACATGCATGTGTAATTGTAATATACACAGAGAGCAAGAGCAAGAGACTGGTAGGTTATACAGAAAGCCTACTGAAAATGAATGGCATGGTCCCTTAGAAGACTACTTTCCTTTACGAACAGAGGGTGCCATCCACTTCCATGTGATGTGTTCGCTGAAGTATATTAGTAACAAGGGCGTTCTCACTAGCAAGAAGCTACTAGGTTGGAGGCCATCGGTATTGGGTTGGAGGCCATCGCTACTAGTAGCAAGAAGCTAGTAGTAGCTAAGGATTGGTATTTTGGACCCGCACGAAAACGGTGCCTCAGCCCCGCACCGCCGGTCTTTCGGGCGAGACCTCCGGGTACTTGAGTGGTGACCCACATGTTGATACGACCGGCATGAATGGTGACACGGTTAGGGTACGGGAGCTTGAGCTGTGATACCTCCCTGAACAGTCATGGTGAGGTGGAAAACCCACCGCCTGTTGGCAGCAAGAAGCTACTATAGTAGGATACCTGGGCATCGCTACGGAGCGTTCGGACGCTAATAGTAGCTCCTGGCCTTACTAGGAGCAAGAAACTAGTGAAACGAGTAGTAGCTAGAAGTGCACGTCTTCTGATTTCATGGTGATCCCAGTCTTCCGGGCCCATAGATGATTTCAAGAAGTGCACGTGCTTGGGGGCTTGGGTGGTGATGGACGGCTCACCAAGTGGGTGTGTAGTAGCGAGACCTCCCAAAAGCCCCCCTGGAAGGTCAACAAACCAGTCTACCCTTTTGGTTGGGTGTCTCCCTGCCAACATCTCTACCACCCAAGTGACTCCAAACACTTCTGCTAGTTCACACAGTAGTTCTTGGAATATATGACCTCCTCTGTGACTCATCCCAGTCGACCACCATGTCGACATGGACGTCTCAAAGGCGAAAGAGCATCAATCGAGCCACAGACGTCGAACGCATAAGACTTGATCCAGTCGTTGTGCTCAGTCGTTGCGTGCATACGTTTTTGTTGGAGCTCATTGTACGTGTACATATAGAAGTCTAGGAAGTCTAAGACCATGGAATCCATCTCCCGAGATGGACATATCAACACATCCTGCTGCTTCGCTGCTTCGCTCAGCTGCCCCAGCTGTCCCAGCTTCTCTACTGGGCCGGTCACGTCAGGTGGGAGACGTGATTCGGGACAACACAGGCGAACGGGGCCACGGTCCGTTCCATCCGGTGCTTCGCGGTCCATGTGGAAACCAAACGTGTTGTTCCTTTGTTTTAATGTGTTTTCGTGGTATGTTTTATAGAATGCTGGATTAAATTTGGTATTTTTGTTTTTGTTTTCAATATTTTGGGTGGTATGTTTCGCCACCTTTTTAACGAGGAGAAACATGCGGTTGCAGAAGGTTTTTTGCATGACAGACACAGCAGCGGCAGCCATGTGTGTGTGTGTGTCCCACCCTGGACAAAGGGTCTTACACCACCACTCTTCCCATTCTCCACAGGCAGGGGGCAGTGACAGAGTTTGTGGAATCACTGCCAACGAAGACGTCCACATTCTCTGGTGATGCATCGGGAGACGTCCTGATGTGTACCTGCTTCAACTTTTGAACACGCTGTCCAATCTTTTTGGTTTGATTCATGGTGGTTCCACATGATCCTTTCCCCACAAACAGGTTTCCCACAGCCACTTTTGCAGCTGAGTTGCGCCGCTTCGTCACTGCAGTCAAGGGAAACAGCTTTTGTTCAAACACCTACAATTGTCTCCGACTTTCCGCCATGCTGTTCTATCGCCTTCTTTCTCACCGAGACACTTGCGTTAACTGAAAACCCAAGTTCGAAGTGTGTCCTGCTCAGCCGTCCCACTCGGGTGCTGAGTGTGATCCCCGTCACAGGGGCGCCGTTCTTGCATGGGAAAGCAACCACCCCAACGCACCACCGCTCACTGGATTATCACAGGAAGGCACCGACACCCTCACAGAATCAACCGCCACACCGGCCGCCGGGCCAAAAAACGGTTCTTGAAGAATTCTTCAGATTCCAAACTTCAGATCTCAGATTTCAGCATTCAGTTTTCTTTTCAGGTCTTCCAATCATGTGCATGTTTCTATGTTCGCTATGTTGCTGCCGCGATTCTTTCATCGACAGAACTCAAGGATGGAGCTCTTCAGCTTAATTCGAGATGCATGAACACACACCTACCAACAAGCTCACATTTAGCACCACCTTACAACATACTCACCACTGACACCAGAGATGACACCTTCAACAACAACAAGACAATACAACTCGGCACTTCTCCGCTGCTTTTTGCTGCCGCGCCGCGCCGCGCCATAGCTACGACCACGACATGCATTTTCCGTGGCCCTACGCTCACACTACGCCACCACCATTACCTACCACACAACCTCAACCCACATGGCCGATGCCACAACCATCAACTGCACCCATCTTTCCCTCGACAACCATCGGCATACCCTCACCCACAACCACAACCATTTCAACCACCACCGTTTTTGTCCAACCCTACCGCCACTGCACTGACCTACGGCACACCATCCACTTGGACTTTTGTCCAACCATGTCACGTGCCACCGCAACCCACACATCCAACTCCAGTGTTTCCGACAGCAGCACCTCCCCCGTCCTACTTGTTGCCATCACATCATCCCACACCACCCGCTGAACTTCCCCCCCCCACTACACCGACACATCCCCCTCCAACACAGCAACAGCCTGCGATTGCCAATTATCCATCCACAGACCCCCAATGCGCCATCCCCCAGGGCGTTTGGCAACCCTATTCAGCTTTTCCCCCCGTCACACAGCCTCCACTCCAACCGTTGCCCCCGCCACCGCCCCCACAAACCATCAACGCCTCAACATCAACCCAACCTCCACCTCAACAGCAGCCACCATCGGATCCAACACCACCGATCCAACCCATCCCCACGACTACCCAGGACAATCCATTACCAGTCCAAAACACGCCTCCACCAGCTACCGTATCCAAACATTCAGCATCCCCATCGCTGGTATCTGCCACACCAGCGCCTGGACCTTCACTACCAGCACCAGACCAACCTGACACCACTGCCTCACCAGCACCGCAACCACCTTCCCCGCAACCACCACACAGCAGTCGCCGCCACCACCACAAGAGCCGACGCAAGTCCGACCATCACCACAGAGGACGCCACCGCCACCGCCGCCGACATCGCCATCAGCGCCACTCCAAACATCACAGCACAACCCGGCGACGGCGGTCGCCTTCAACATCCACCTACACATCCAGCCTTACGCCATCCCGCAGTCGTTCGCCACCACAACCCATTGATCTACGCCCCAACACCGAACACACCAACCCGGACCCCTCTCAATATCCCACCACAGCCGTCCTCCGTCGCCCAATCAACCGTTGGCGACCTCCACCCAACTTTTACACCTTTACACCTGCAGACCAAATCCTGGAATGGCTCGAATTCCACGCCACCCAACTCGACAATCCCAACCGACCACAACACCAGTACATTGCCAATATCCTCACAGACTGCAACATCACCTACAAGGAGATCACCGATTTCCGACAATATACCCACGCTAAGTGGAACGACACAACTCACCAATACGACCAATTCCAGTACTATGCCATTTCACTCCCCTTCCTCAACACCAAAGCCACTACACCAGAGCCACCTGCGGTTTCCCGCGCCACATCAACCCACCGGGAAGTCGCCCACATCAACGCAGGCCACACAGGCCCCGTCGGCAACATTTCCAACATTCTACGCCAAGGCCGTTTTTTACCCAGCACACTCCACTTTGCCAACTACCCTGGATTTTTTGCCCAGGGCGTTCGCATCACCCACAACCAACCCCATGACCACAACGAACTTGCCCGCATCATCCACAACACCTGGCAACTCCACAAGAATTCCCATTCCCTTATCATCACACTCCTTGCTTGGGGTGCTGCCACAAAATATACCTCTGGAGGTGAGGAACACGCCATGAACCTCCTTAACGACCACCATGGGGCAGTCTTTCATCAGAAGGGCCGCTGCTGGGTGATCCACCCGGACCACGCCATTGTCAAAGGACTGGCCTGGTCCACCAACTCCACTCCACCGGACCCATAACACCACTACCACACATCTACACACCACCACCACCTCCACATCCACTTTCGGTCTCACACCACCACCCAACCTTTGCTGTAGCAGCAAAAAAGAGCCTCCTGCAGCGGCCACGCGAATTTTGAACCCTCAATTTTTCTAGCTCTGCAGTGTTTGCTGAGAACATCTTTTTTCGAATTGTACCGGCTGTTTTGATGGAGTCTTTCACGTGTCAGATTCTGCATCGTGGAGAGTGATTCACTAAGTCATGCACTTCATTGTCCAACCGGCATTGCACACTCGCATTTTTGCCTGTGGGAATTTGATGCTCGTTTAATTCATATGCACGGCCCCGGGATGACGCGCTCCCTCAGACTCGCCGCTGTCCGGCTGCTTTGGCGCGCTGCCGCAGCAACCTGTGACGATTCTTGACCACTGCACACCCCTACATCTCAGACTCATGAGCAGCACACCGACACCTCTACAAAACGACACCCCAACTCTCATACACAAAACCGCAGTGGCACTTTCGCAGGTGCACAACCTGCTTCGACAAGCAACAGATATGGTAGCACACCTCCACACGGTTTTCCTCCACCACAGCCACCAAGCGGACCCCACTTTCCGCCAACACTTTCAGCCACTTCCAACACCGCCCAACCACCCTATACGTTTACCATCCACCACCTCATCCTGTGACTCAGCACCATCCAGACCACCCATCCGTTTACCAGCACCACCCTTACAAGACTCAGACGACACTCCAACAACACCCCCAGATCCACAACCCACCACAACACGCAAGCGGAAGCAACCACCCCCACCACCTTTGAACCGACAGGCGGACTGGGATGCCTGGGACGGCGACGCTGACTGTCGCCTGGTTGAACTCAAAGAAAACCCCAAACTTCGTCCCAACTGGACCACTGTGGCCCGCCGAGTGGGCTTCTCCGTTGAGCAATGCCAAGCCCGATGGCAAGAACTCAAAGACATGCAACGTCAGCAGGACCAGCAACTCTTCTCCACACAACTACCAACCGCACCACCAAGACAAGCACCTTCCCCCTCACCAACACCCACATCACCAGCAGTTTCACCAGCACCACATTCACAACCGGATTTCTCCCCTTCCCCCACAACAACGCCACCGACTTCACAATATCCAACGACTCCTGCTGCTGTGCTGCTGCCGCCGGCTGCTGAGCGAGCGCTTAGTGAAGACAGTCATCCGGAGAAATCTCCACTCACGCCAGCTGGCAGTTATTTCATTTGACCCGTTTCACCCACCTTCCTTACGGCGTGCCGCACGACAAATCCACTGACATGCATGACATTTAGTTCTTCATACCCAGTCTATGTTCACCAAGTTGCCCAACTTCGATTTGTCAGTTTTCAGGCTCACCTCAGCTCCGCAGCCTTTTGTACGCCATCTCAGTCCATCCATTGTCATGGCCAATCCTCGCGCTCGCCCTCATAGCAACCCCGCTGATACAGAACACTACCTCCCACAGTGCCCTCCGAGCTGGCTCCAACCTTCGATTTGCACCCAACCCGATTTTCAATCCCTCAACGGCTCTTTGGACCTCCTCTTTATGGTCAACCAACACCTCCGCCGTCACCCATTCCACACTGAACCTATGCCAAGCCAGACTTATTTTCAAGACCAGAGAGCATACAACCTCCTTTACCGACTGCGCGGCGACCTGATCTTGCTGGACCGCCTGATCGATGACCTATCCCAGGCTCGTCGACTCCTTCAATTTGTTACCACCGGCCCCGGGCTCCCAGGACAATACCGCATCAACCCCACAGCCACACTCTCCAGCAGAAACCTGGCTATTATCCACAACATACCGCCAGGTTTTCCACTACCACCCGGGCTTTCCAGCCGTTCACCCTCTCCTTCACCACGTACCCCACCACAAGACGCAGCCCGCCTGCACTCATACTGGACAGGCCCTCCACCACAAACCACCCCGGCAACCCACACCCACACTACCACTCACACTAGGGAACGTTCACGGTCCCGCGACAGCCTCTCACACCACATGGGCTAACTACCGCAACATCCAACTTTCAGCTCTACGGC